TAGGTACTTAAGAGCCAATCAAAAAGTAGCATTTTTCCTCACTTGCTTCCCCAAGCAATCACATGGCACCCAAGGCTTTGATGCATTTACTTGTTTGATTTTTGTGGAGCCATTGAGGTAACCCACCAACCTTAGGAGAGGGAGTTTATGAATAGTCTTTGGAGAAAAGGGTTTTTTAAGATAGGCAAGAAAAAAATTACAGTTAAGTACCTGTTTTAAAAGAAAATACATGAGTTTCATGTCTCCCAACTAAAAATATTTAAAAGTTTTTGCAAAATTAAGAAAAAAACCAGGAAATTGCATAAGAGAACTAGGTCTACTAAAAAAAGTAGTACTGATCTGCATCTGCCAAATTTGTGTTTTTATGAGTAACAGAAATCTGGAAATATTGGTTTTTGTCATTTTTCCAGTTGTATCATGATGTAGTAGGAAATATAGTGGATTTGGAGTCAGAATACTTGGGCTTACTACTTACGAGGCCTACTCTTTCAACTGCTTCATCTTTAAGATGGAGATAATACTTAAGTACCTCACAGTGTTATTACAAATGTAAGAACATAACACTTTTGGAGACTGCAAAGTGCTTTACAACCTTATGGTGCTATTATTTTCAAATGGTTTAGATTGTGAATCCTTGAGAGCAGAGAAATGGTGTTATCTTTGCGTACACAGTGGCCTGTGTATAGGTACTTAATAAAATGTTTGAAAGAATCAGATACACCAAATTTTTCATTCTGTCTGGTTTATTCAGTCTTTATGAATCTGCCCTGGCAGTTACATTTTTTATTTTAAATTAAATTCTCAAAAATAATTAGACATACAATAATATGTATTTTTATTTACCCATTTACCATTTTTAATTAACCAAAGTCAAACCAAGTAAATTAGCAGGGAAAAAGGAAAAGAAAATATGTTCTCTGCCCCTGTACTTTCAAGTCTGTCCATTGCCTTTTGATTTCAATTTTATTTGAAAAAGTAGTAGTCAATATGTACCTGGGACTGGTTCTGCCAGTCTCATTTTGCATCAGTTCATTTGGTCTTTCCATATTTTCTTGTATTCTTTAAATTTATAAAATTCCATGGCATTAATAAATAATTCAGCCATTTTCTAATAATTGAAATACAGGTTGTATCTTTTTATGCTATTATAAATAAAGCAGTTATGAATAATTTTGCATAGATAGGCTTCTCCCATCCCTAACTTCCCTTAATGATAGTCTTAGCATAAATTACTGGCAATAGAATTGCTGGCTCAAAAGGTATCAGTTTTGTGAATTTTATTGTGTATTACCATAGGCTACCAAATGCTTGCACAGATCTGTAGTTGCCATTAGCAGTGCATTGGAGTGCCTGTTTTTCTTGACATGTTGAAACTGAATTTCATCATTTTTTGTTGCTTCTATTTTATGGGTATATAAGATGCTATCTTAAGGTTGCTATGATATTCATCTTTCTAATTATTGGGGAATTGGAGCAACTTTTCCTGTGGTTATTAAAAATTTGCATTTTCCCTGGAAATTGTTACACAGTTGCTTAGTTAAACTAAATTTGTTTAGGTTGGCAACTAAAATGCATCCCACACAGTCAAAAAATATAGCTCTGAGGGAAATACAGAGGGAAATAAGGTAATGAGACGTAATTCCTTAAAATCTAAATGAGACTAGATACATGTCTTTATGTTAAATATATTAAATTATATGTCACGCAATGCAATTATGACTGGATTTCTGCTCTGTGGAGATAATTAGCTAATTCTCTTGTATTTATTTTGTAAATACTTATATATGTAAATACAGTCTCCCTGTTGATTCTGTTGGGGAGCTCCTTGTGAAAGTTCCTTGAAGGCAGGCAAGGACTGTTACACACACACACACACACACACACACACACACACACACACACACACACACACACATTCTCTCTCTCTCTCTCTCTCTCTCTCTCTGTCTCCCTCCCTCCGCCTCCCCACATATATACATGTATGTGGGTGTGTATTTATTTATTTGTATCTCCAGTACTAAGCACAGTGCCTGGCATATAGTGGTCTCTTACATGCTTATTGATTTATTTTCTTCCCCAAACTCACTTTTCAAGGACTGTTCTTTAATGATTTTATTTATTGTTATTTCAGTTATTATTCTTTAGGGAAGCAGAGGTGTAGATAATCAAGCATCATTTATATTTGACCTAGGTTGCTGCCCCCTATTCCTGTTCAACCTTCTCCAGTGATACTCAAAACAGTTTCTTAGGTAGCAGGTTGGGTTAAGTCTTCAGGGAGGACTCAGCAACCCATGTGCTTGCTTTGGATGCAAGTCAGCCTCAACTGGAAGAAATTTTTTTAACCTGTTAGGATTTGATACTTGATTGCTACTGTAATCTAGAAGTTTATATTTCTAAATTCTAGTTGATATCAGGAAAATAGTGCTAATTCTAACACAAATTATAAAGATAATGAGTTGTCTCCTTATTTGCTTTTTCTTACCCTCAATCTAGATTTATTAAAATGCTTTGGTATTATTCTAGTATTTTTTTCCCCCTCAGGGCCACATCCAATACAACATTTAGAAACTTGGAGGCCACTCATAAGCATCGAATAAATGGAATTACAGAATTTAAAACTTAATAATGCTCTGGATTTCAGTGCTTGAAAATTTCTGCCTATACAAATGAGAAACTTTCTTGTAACTTATCCGTAGTTGTCTGGGGCCTACAACTGGTATTTGTCAGAAGCAGGACTTAACGTCTTCTGATTTCAAAGCTGGCTCCCTATCTACTAAGTCTTGCTGCTTCTCAGTATTAGATGGACTCTAGTATGACTGTGTATTGTCATTCTAGGGCTTAGTCTCCTTAAATTTTGTCTTAAAGACCTTTTTCCCCAAATTACAAAAGCGAGTGATTGCTTTCATATACTATGTGACATTTGTATAGTGCTTTATCAGTTGTAAAAGACTTTACATAGATTCTCATTTGAGTCTTGGAACAATGCTGTGAGGTGGGTACTACAGACATTATCAATTGAAAGTAGAAAGAACAGCTTCATGTAAGTTTGTTGCTCATGCTCACAAAATAAATTTCAGAGGCAGCATTTGAATTCAGGCTTTTCTCATTCCAGGTTGTTCAGTCTTATCCACTATACCACACTGCCTCCCCAAATATACGAATTTTTGTCTTAGGAGAAAAGAGCAAGCTATAATATAGAAATCCTTGAAAGCTAAGAAACTAACCTTTATGAAGGGAATTTGGGCTTTTGGATTGACAATTAGAATAGCTTGTCATTGTTGAAGTAGGTTGAAGATTGACAGTGGTATATAGATCAGAGGACTGAAGGTATCCCCAGTTTTGTTTGCTTCACCAAGTTGCATTACCAGTGGAGACCTGGCTGATCAGTCCAGGCTGACCAATGAGAAAGAAGTTTTTGAGATTCTAGTCATTTTTTCTTTTCTAAAGAGAATTTAACCCTAAATTATGTATGTTGGTGGAGGTGACATTTAGGGTTGTTGATAGAACAGTTGATCTTTGCAGTTTTTCATTATGGAATCTTTAAAATAGGGTGCCATTTTTATTTTGCTGTAATTCTCCATTTCACCACAGAAATACAATTACCAATCATTAGGAGGAGGAGCTGGCATCATTTCAGTGATTAATGAGCAAGGCTTACCCATCCTTAGAGGTCTGTAGGACTTCTTAAAGGAGGGACCAATTTGGAATCACTAGAGGTTGGTATCAGTAGACTTTCTGTACTTCAGTAAACTTGTCTGCTCCTTACTTGGATTTTTGAGAGATCCCTAGAAGAATTTAATGTTATTGTACATGGAGTATGTCTGGTTAAACTGCCACATAAAAAGGTGGGTATGTTTTAATGATTTTGATTTTTCTTTCTCCAAAAATTCAGGGGTTGAGAGGAGAAAGACTGAAGAGGAAGGCAATAAATATTGATCCAGTGAGGATATTATCCCAGCAAAGAGGCAAGAACCCAGTCAGAGCCAGACTTTAATTCTAACAGAAAATTTTCTTTGTGGAATTTCATATAAAAAGAGACATGATAACATACATTCAAGAAAACATTTGGCAGAAGAGGGCTGAGTATAGGAGTTTCTTTGTAATATTAATAATGTTAAAAATGTTATTAGATGAGTTTCTTGCACTGCTTTTTTTCCTGTGCTAAAGAGGCCTGGCCAGTGTGGAAGTGGATGTTGATTCAGTATCCTGTGTTCTGGCTGAAGCTGTGTGGTTTCAAGACTTGTTTCTCCACGTGTGGGACCAAGAGCACCTCCACCAAACCGCATGGTCCCCCTTGGTACACCGGGCATGCTTTTGGAAACTTTGTATCGCAATAACTGTCCCCGTGAAAGGAGCCCTGAAGGGGACGAACCCCTCCAGGACTGGATCAACCCTGTGTGTCTCATCCATATAAATAAACTCTCCCTTCGTGGTCATAGGCTAAAGTTACCCAATAAAAGAAACCTTGGCGTGTGGACTCATATAAAGGCCGCCTTTTTGCAAAGTACGCGACTGTTCTGGGGGTCCGGCCGGGGTTGGGGTGAGGGACCCCCAATGGATCTGGAGTCTCCAGTCCCTGCCTTCAGCTGCCTTCGGCCCCCTCCCACCCGGGGAGCGCGGAGCCGCACGTTCGGCCGGCCGACAGCTGGGCATGCTCAGTGGGCAGCTCTCGTCGGGGGAAGGGGAGAGGTGGCGAGTGAGGAAGTCTTGGCTCTTCGCGAGCTCGACCTCCTCAGCTGAGGCCCCGGCCCCGGCCATTTTTGTACTCGCGGCCGCCTCCCAGGGCTCCGGCAGACCTCCGATGCAGTCCTGAGTGGCCGCAGTTCGGTGTCTCCCAGGCCCCGGCGCGGGCGGCAGGGCAGGGGCGGAGCGCGGCGGGGCGGGGCGCGCCGGCCCGGCCCGGGGCGCGCTGGGAGAGGGGAGCCGCGGAGGGGCCGGGGCTAGGGGCGGGAGCGGAGTCAGGGGGGTGGGGTCACCGGCGGCGGCGGCGGCGGCACCCGCCCGAGGGCGGGGGGGGGGCGGCGGAGTGGTGTGTCGGAGCGGCTAGGCGGGCCCTGCCCCAGAGGGGGAGCAGTGGCAACTCCGGGGGCCGGCGCCAGGGCTCTGCCGCGGTCTGGGAGGCCGCCGCGGGCCCCTTCTTGCGGCCGTCCGCGTGCATGGTGATCCGGGACGGGGCCGCCGCCGCCATCTCCTCCTCCTCTTCCTCCTCCTCCGCTGCCGCCTCCTCCTCTTCCTCCTCCTCCTGGGTCGGGCCGATCCCCTCCCCGCGGCCGCCTCCTCCTGGGCTGGGCCCGCGGTGCCTCGTCCCCTCCCCGAGCCGTTCCTGCAGCCGCCGCCGCCGCCGCCTCCTCATTCATCCTCGTGCACCATAGGCGGCACAGGTTCCAAGATGTCCAACCGAGTGGTCTGCCGGGAAGCCAGTCACGCCGGGAGCTGGTACACAGCCTCAGGTAGGAGGGCGGGAGGGCCCGGGCGGACCGGGCCGGGCTGAGCCAGGCGGCCGCTGCCGCCTCCACGACTCCCCCTGCGGCCCGAGGCGCGGCGCGGCGGGGAGGAGCGGAGCGAGCGGGCTGGGCCCGTCCCCGAGCGGAGGCGCTCCCGGCACGCCGGGCTGAGGCGGGCGGCCCGAGCGGGAGGGGAAGGGGGCTTGGCCCACTCCTCCCCCGTGCCTTCACCCGCGGGATTATTCCTCCTGGCCTCCCCCTTTCTTTCCAACCTTCGGGCCGAGCTGACCGATCCCGCCCCGGAAGCCGGGGCCGGAGCTGTCGGTAACCCCGAGTCCTAGCCTCCCATTCGCCCCGTAAGAGGGGCAGGCTGCCCTGCTCATGCCCCTTGGAGGGTATTTCCTTCTTTTACCTCTGAGAATAGAAAGGGGGCAGACCCTCCCACATTATCCACGGGTAGGGGAAGATCTTTCTTTCCTTCTGAGTCATGGGTAGGACCCTCCCTCCTCTCACTTGTGAGGGAGGGGACTCCCCTGTCCGCCTGCCTTTCCCCTTTCCCTTCTTCCCTGTGTTTCTCCTTCCAGAGCCCAAGACTCGAGGGAGTTTTCTCTCTCTGGAGCCTCTCCCCGCCCCCCTCACGCTTTCTCCTGTGGAGCGTCTTGTAGTTTAGAAAGCTAGGCAGCTTCCTTACTCCTTTCCACCGTCTCCACTCCTCGAAGACTTAGAGTGAAGGGTGTAGACAGCAGATTTGTCGAGAACCCGTCCTCTCCCATTCTCTTTCCTTTGCTTAGAAGTGTGCCCTTCTTTGGTGGTTTGGGAATGGATTTGCAGGAGGCCTTTTTGTGTGTGTGTGTGTGTGTGTGTGTGTGTGTGTTGGGGGTGGGGCAGAATTATTGTTAAGCTGAGGCCTGGGGTAGCCTGTTGGTTTTTTTGTCAGTGTTTTGTTGTTACTGTCATTTACCCAAGGGGCAGCTAGAGGTGGCATCAGCACTTTTCCGGGGCGACCTCACTGATCTTTTCCGTAGTCCCTCAGCACTCTGCAGTCGCTGAGGCTAGCTAGCTACATAGCAAACTAGTCCAGCTTTAAAGTGAATAAGCCGTCTGTGCTATCAATGTCTTTTCAGCAAGTACATTAATCTGCACTGTATAGGAGAAGAGGGACCTTCTGTGCCACTGTTAAAACTACTATTTCTCAGGTGACTTCTCTCAGATGTTCTGGTTGTAACTACCTATAATTTCTTATTGAATCTTAGACTTTTACCCTTATGGGTATTTGGGTTAGGATGATGACGTGCTTTTTGGGGAAACAAAGGGATTCAGAAAAGTTAGAGTCTCAGAGTTTGCTGAACTGGTTCATAAATACATCTCACTGATGCATTTCAGAATTTGATATGTTATGAAAAAAGATACAAAGGAATTGTGCTGATGAGATTTGCATATAGCTGTGGTTCACTGTTAAAGATAATATTTTGTAATTACACTGCCTTTTCCCTATGAACCTTAAAGTACTTCATAAACACTTAATTGGTTCTTACAACCTGAGAATGTCAGTTGTGCTATTCCTGTTCAACAGATGGGGAAACAGATGCAGAAAAGTTGTGATACCCCTAGCACCATGCAGTAAGCCAGTGAGTGGCATGGCAGAACAGAATTTGGAAACTAACAGTGTGTCAGACTTCAGGACCTCTGCTCAGACCTTTAAGACTAGCAGTTCTTGTAGTGGGATCCCCTTCTCAAAATGTGGTCTCCTGGGAGCCCTCCCCCCCACCCCCACTGGTCAGGGAGTTTGTGAGGTCAGAATTATTTTCAAGGTAATATTAAGATGTCTTAATTTCTAAGGTGGTAAATATTGATAAATATAATCACATAAACAAAGGATCTTTCTCAGTTCAGTAATTCTTAAAGCATAAAAGGGTCCTAAGGGCAAAAAGTTTGAGAATTGCTGTTCTAGACAGTACTACCGATTAAAAAAAAAATCGGACAATTAAATGTTCTGTGAGGTAGGCAATTTACCTGAATCCAGGCTTTCTCTTTATGCATTTTTCAAAGAGCCAGCTTGTCAGTACTGACATTGTGGACCAGATTTTTTTGGCTTATTTTTTTGTCGGTTTTTACACATTTCATTTTTTTTGGATTTTAGACTAGACCTTTGATTTTATTGGCATAAGGAACTCATGATGAGCAAATTTCCTTTACCATTTCATATAAGCACCTGCTTAGCAACTTAGTCTTAGAGTTCCTAGGTTTTTTTAGCGTTTAAATGACTTGCCCTGGCTCACACAGCCATTGCGAAAGGCCAGGCAGTTCTTCTGACTCTTGAGACCAACGCTATCCACTATTTGATGCTGCCTCTCAAAATTTCCTAAGGGATCAATTTTTTTTGATAGTTTTACATTAAAAACTACATGATTTTTCAGGCTTCTTTTGTGTAGAGTGCTGAAGTGGAGTCTGGAAATCAGGGTTAATATTCTGGCTCAGGAGTTATGTAGCCTTGGCTACATAAAATTTATAGGTTACAGATTATGGATTATTATTTAAAGAGCTGGAAGGGACTTTTGTGATCATCTAATTCAAGTCCTTCAGTCATAGAGAGGTGCAGTTGCATAAAGTTACACAGATTTTAAGTGGCAGAGCTGTGGTAGGACTTAAATCCTCTGGCTCCAAATCCAGGGCTTTTCCCACAGCCCTTTTCTGCCTCAAGTTGATGAACTTGTCTGAGCCACAGTTTTCTTATCTGTTATTGGAAATCCTATCACCTGTAGGGTCTGATTCTTTGGGATTTGTGAGGTCTAAATATTTTAATTGCTGTATGCCTAAATGCCATTTAGTGTTGTCATTATTATAGATTTCTGAAGGTATCTCTGTTCATGACTTCCAATTTATTGTGTGTATGTATGTGTATGTATGTGTGTATGTTGTTTGTACATTGTTTGCATGTTTTCTCCCCCATTAGACTGAGAGCTTCTTGAGAGGAGAAACTGTTTTTTTTTTTGCCTTACTAGAACAGAGCCTGGCACATAATAGATGCTTAATAAATTATCATTGATTTATTGATTCAAGGTTCCTTGAATAAGTGTGTAACTTATAGCAACTTACAATTTGGGCTTGAAATGTCCATTTCTTCAGTGTAACTCTTTAAATATTACGAGAGCCCCTTAAGGTCTTCTAGCTTAAGAAATCTAGATTACATCTCTTTACTAACAATGAACTATGTTATAATTTCATTAAAAAACTTAAGAGAAAGACTTGCTTTTTTTTTTAATCAATGAAATGGTTTGGGAAATGGCCCATATGAATTCTATAGAGGAAAAAAGTTAAACATTTATTTTGTATTAAAAAGATTAGTTGATTTTAATAGAAAAGTAGATGAAAGATTAGCACAGAATCTATAAAGTTAACTTTTTTCTACTTAATTTACTTCTATCTAGGATCATAGGATTATGGAGTTTCAGAATTTATATGCTTACATTGTTTTTTTTGTTAAAATTTTACTTGTTACTGTTTCTGTAGAGAATTTTCTTTAAAAAAAACAAACCACAAAGAAACCAAAAAGACAATTCTAATAGTAGATTATCACTTCGTGATAGTAGCTCAAGTTTCTATGTACTTAAAGAAGAGCTATAGCATTTTAATGTCTGTGGGGTTCTTTCCTTAGAACAATCATTTGAGATAAATGGTATATGTATTTTTTTAATCATTTTATAGATGAGGGCATGGTCTAAGAGAAGTTAAGTGATGACTTAGGCTTTAAAATGTCAGACTTGAATCTAGGTTTCCTGATTTAATCAGTGCTTTATTACACAGGGCTGTTTTTCTGGTTCCCAACATATTTGTTTGTGTTTATAAGGTAAATTCAGATAAATACCAAGTGTAAATTTGATTTTTTAATATAAATGCTTTAAGTAAAATGCTTTTTTTTTTGCTTGAATTATCAAAATAGGGAGGACTAGATTTGGAGTTGGTTCAAATCCTGTGTCTGTTACCACTTGTGTAAGTTTTCCCATTTTCCTAACTATGAAATTAGGGGGTTTATTAGGTGGTCTCTAAGTGCTTTTAACTCTAAGTCCTGTGTGTCTGTAAATCAGTGTCCAAAGTGATATAGACAATTGTTAAAGCAGTTTAGGTGGAAGAGTTTGCTTTGGGTGATGGATGGGGGTGTGTGTGTGTGTGTGTGTGTGTGTGTGTGTGGTGTGTGTGTGTGTGTGAGAGAGAGAGAGAGAGAGAGAGAGAGAGAGAGAGAGAGCGAGCAAGCGTGAGAGAGAAAGCTTTATTGAGGAGAAATCATGTATGAACAGATTATTCGTTTGGGTTTATAGTGTGAGATGAGGCTCAAAAAGTAGATATGAGACCGATTGTGGAGGTCCTTGAATGTCAAGCTTAGGAGTTTGTATCTTATTTTGTAGTCAGTGGGGAGACATTGACACTTTTTGAGCAGGAGAATAACTTGATCAAAGTGGCACTTCAGGAAGATTAACCTGGCAGCAATGTACAGTATGAACTGGAGGAAGCAGAGACTGGAGACAGGAAGACCATGTAAGATGATAATGGCTTAAACTAGGTGGCAGTAGTGAGGATGGAAAGAGAGGAAGGAATTGATAAAAGAAAATACTGTGAAAAAAGACTCATTAGGGTTTGGTCACTAAGAGGGTATAGGGCCAAAGGAATGGGTAGAGTCATTAAATAATGCAGAATTAGAACGCATTGGTTATGTTTGCAGAAAAATAATAGCAATAGGGGCAGCTAGGTGATGCAGTGAATAGGGCACTAGCCTTGGATTCAGGAGGACCTGAGTTCAAATCCAGCCTCAGACACATAACACTTACTAGCTGTTTGACCCTGGACAAGTCACTTAACCCCACTGCCTATCCTAAAAAAAAAGGTGTGTATATATGTATATATGTGTATATGTATATATGTGTGTGTGTGTGTGTGTGTGTATATATATGTATGTATGTATATGTGTGTGTGTGTGTATGTATATGTCCTGTATAAGGACACAGAAGGAA